TACGCATAAGGGTTTACCAAACAAAGTGGAATGGCTGGACAGTCATGAGCGTGCTTACAACACTCTGAGGAAACTCCTGACGGAAAAGCCAGTTTTGAAGCTGCCAGATTTGGAGCAGGACTTTATCTTGAGAACTGATGCGTCCGACAGCGGGTTAGGAGACGTGTTATTACAGGAGGAAGACGGTCCGAAGTGGCCTATTGCGAACGCCAGTCGGAATCGTCTTCCCCGGGAACAGAACTACGCAGTCATTGAGAAGGAGTGTCTTGGAATCGTATGGGGAAAACAGAAGTTCGAGTCGTACATTTACAGAAGAAAATTTCTGCTCGAGACTGATCACCAGCCACCTGAACAAGTCTAAGACAGCCAATGCGAGACTTATGAGGTGGGCACTACTACTCCAGCCATATAGGTTTCACCATTCGTGCCATCAAAGGTGCGGATAATGTGGGAGCGGATTACTTGAGCAGGATATAGTGACTTCAAACCATTTTTTCCCGGAACCCGCGGACGTTGTCATGATCGCATGTACTCAATATATTTTTCATATGATGTTTTTCGTGTTTAGTTGTTTATTGTCGTGTACGAGTATTTTTATGGCATGTATGGAAGTACGGCGTGAGCGGAAGTACGGGTGCACGTGCGGAATGTTGTTTTTAGTTACGTGACTACAGGTAGTGTATGCCTAGAGTAATAGCTGTTTTGTGAACGCCTGTGGCCGTGTCTCGGTTATTAACATGGAAACAGGCTCGGAAATCAGTAAGTTATTAATGTTTTAGTATTCTGGTTACTTCTCTAGTTTCTTACTTTGAATGTCTTTTTCCGGGTAAGTGTCTTTTAGCATGTATTTGACGTGTGGTCCAATCATGTGTAACCATTGTTTACATCTATATTTGTGTTGTTTAAATGTAGGTTATAAATAATTATGTGGTTATTGCTATGTTATGGAGTTAGTTATAGTGTGTATAGAGTTCTTATGTTGAAATATAAATTATTCGAAGTTATGATAGTTGCAGGTAAATTAGTTTGGTGAATTTCAGCTTTGTAAAAATGTACGGAAGCCCTTTCAGGACATAACTAAACTATTGTGTACATGGATGATAGTGTTAGGAATGGAACGACACGAGTTTATGTTAGTATTTTGTACATCTAATTATTAATATTTGGGCACGTATAAGTAGTTAATTAGGGTATTTATTCTATTACTATCAGAGTTAGGATATTAATGTATATTAATTATTGTTTGCCACGGTTTGTCAGGTGAGAACTTGTCTTGTTTGTTTGTTTAAGCTCTCTATGACGGAATTTAGTCCCTGAGCCAATAGCTACACGACGGCTTCGGCGTCAGGACTTGATAAAGATAGAGTCAGTCTCAGGAAGTTCCGTTGGTGTGACAGGCGAGTCAGCGTGCTAAGTGAAGGAGCGGGCGGTAACACTACGCCTACATGTGGTCGACGTCTGGTATTATAGACGCACTGGTGAGATAATCAGCTATTGCCGAGCTGCGCTAGATTATTTGCGCTAGCAGCTATTGTTCTATACTGTACCTGCGGGAAAGTATGTTTGTTGATATTGCTGTACCCGACATTCTTGCGGAACGCTTGTCCGTGTGCCTGGATTGCGGTTCAGGTGATTGACCTTATTGATGTTTGTCGTGTAGGAAACTTGTGGCTGTCGTGCCGTGTGGATAAAGAACTATGAACTTTGAACTTTCGCGTTGGAGTGAGTGTGAATGTGTCTTAGTGCGATATTTATATTTATCAGTATATAATATTTGTAGTAAATAGTTTCATGTAAAACCGTTTGTTGTCTTCAATCCAAAACACCCTACTCGACCGCTTGTCCTACGTTACAAAATATTGTTATCATACAGTTCAATTTCCTTCTCGAAACCGATCACCTCTTGAAAGCGAACGAAACAACGATGTAAGGAATTGTTTTTTGATCATAGAATAAAGCAATCCCTTCGAATTCATAACCAGTTTTGTATCCGGAACATTTAAAATAGACCAAAATGACTTCTGTAAACCGGCCTTACTTCAGCGAACGATGATGCGAAATCCGATCCACCGACCGTCAAAATAACGCCGGTGCCCAAAGTGTTGTCTTTTACATTGTGTCTCCTAATTCGGATCGATTACCTATTGTGTAAAAGTGTCCAAAATGTCCCCGCCAGTTGCTAAACGGAGATTCTACTGAGACCTTCCAAAAAACACTTCAGTGAGTAGTATGGTGTTGGAAAATGCAGTGTCGGTCATTTTAAAACGGAAATACATCATTGTAAAGAATACAGACGGAAACTGTAATGGGAACAAAGCCTGGATGGCTACATCTTATAGGATTGAATCAAAAGTGTAGACAAACGATTGAGGCGAGAAAACGGACAGTTCTCATCTTCCTCGACTACGTTACACTTAAATATTTTCTCGCCAACTGTATATCGCATCTGTAGCCTCTGGACCAAGGAATCATCCGTGTTTTCAAATCTCGCTACTAATCATAGATAATGAAGAGTTTAGTGTGCCAACAACGACGTCGACCAAGTATAGCTGACGACGAGTAATAGGACGAATCTGCTACTTCATTCTTAACTTAAAGTTCAGATCTTTCTCGACGACTGTGACAGTATGCTGTGGTAAAAGATGATCGATTTCTTAACACATCACAGGATCTGTATACTAAGTGAGGATATTATGGCTCGACAGTAGTGTAATTAGAAGCAATCGACGTTGAACATGCTTTAAGTTAGGCATTATTTTGTTATGACTTTGTTATGAAGTTATCGCTTGAATTTTGCATGCAAATTGCTAGATTGAATTTATTTGAATGGAGTGAAAAAACCTTTCGTGTCTATTGATTGTGAAACCGACTGAAACAGTCTTGATTTTATCAACATTGCGTACCCAGTAAATGTGAAGTTGAAATGTGATGTCCACTGTTATAGTATTCACAATGTTTTTACAATAAAATTACGCATGTATTATCCTTTATGCGGCACCATTAGCACAGAGGTATATATATAGCGACATGCTGGATGTAGGTCATTCCCAACAGTGACAGCATTGTGAAGTAAAACAACAAACAACGTGCACTTACAATCAGCATCAAAACTAAGTTTATAACCTCTACATGACAGTCATCGATCCTACGATATTGATTACTTAACATGAACCACTAACCATACAAAACCCGTGTTATAATGAGTATACATACACATAACATAATTTTTTTAAAAAAACGTCATCCAATCAATGATCTCCAGATCCTATATTGACAATTTTGTATATCTTTATTATCAATTCAAACAATTCTAAGTAAAAAAAAACTGTATTCATCACTGCATCACTGTCAGATATCACATTCAAAACTTTCCAGTGCGTATATTTATTTACATATAGAATTTAAGGTTGCATTTTGTTCCACAATTATTTAAACAAACAACGGGTTATTTCCCGATTCGTAATATGATTGTAACAGATGACGTTATATAACTGGCCACTGAGATATAAATATAATAGGATTGGAAGGGAAACATTCCCTGCCGTTCTTTTTGTCCACGGCAGATAATTGTTTGCTACAATATATCTCGTATGCAAAAATGAATTTAAGTGTCTCAATTGTGCATTATTTCATGTCTTAAACGACAGTAAATATTGTCGTTCATCTCATGGGTTTTTGAGGTTCAATCATACAGCTCTTTACAAGTGGTTTCCTTTCAATACCGTCTTATGTATAAAACTTACAGATCACCATTTTACTAATATCGTACTAACCAATTTCGTGTATTTCAGTGAGCTCAAATATGTTCAGATTTTAAAGTCTTTATTATATACCTCCTTTTGGCAAACTACTACCTTAACACTACATATTTTAAGCTGTTTTATCTTGTATACTAATTCAGTTTATCAGATAATGAAGATTAAAAAAGGCAAACTGATACTTTATTTTTAATATATGTATTATGTTAGGTAGGGAATGACCCCATTTTTGTTCCAGATCAAGTAGTTGAAGGACATTGGATTGTGTTCCAGATCAAGTGGGTGAAGGGCCTTGGGTTGTGCAAACTGAAAAAGGCGCCAAAGATGGTAAAGGATTTGCTGTCAAATTACTTCACCAAGGAGTACCTAACAGTCACGATGGTACAGATATTCTTCGTATCAATTATGTAAAAGAAACACGCATTTTTCAATTAATCTGACACATATGTGACATTCAGTTACTGCACTTGCTTTTCATTAAAAAATGTAGAGTATGCAAATAACATAACAAAACCACATCGAATCTTGGAGTCATCCTCTAATGATACAGTGAACAGGATATGTTGTGTCTTAACTAAAAAATGACATAATCACAGTGTTGAGAACATGAGATACAGCAACGGATCCAGCAAGCATTCCAAGCAAACCAATTTATTTTACAAATTTCTATTAAAATGACATAACATCGCTTCTAATATACACGATTCTAGGTACTAGCCTTGTAGTCAAAGTGATTTAAGATTTAAATATCCATAAGAAGTGCTGAAGAACAAACTTTGGCAATATCCATGAACGGAAGAAGGGTTTGAGGGGAATGCATTTTCCAATTGAGCCCAGTCCCTTCCGCCCCAGAGACATGGATGCACCATTAACAAGGCACTAATTTGCTTTTACCCAAGAATACTTCAGACTTAAGCGTTCCTTAATAAATTATTCGTGTTGTCCATGACTCGAATATTTCAACATTTTTTATGTATGAGTTATTGCTTAGTTAAGATAACCTCAGCTATACATTCTTACATTCAATTTAATTGTGTGTTAATTGTAAACTGTCATTAAGTTTGAATGATCTCACGTATATTCAGTCAATGCATGACGAATTCAGCTCATACAAGTTTTCGGCAATTTTCATCACATGTTGTGCGTCTTCAAAACAGGCAAGCAAAAATGAAGTTGGTGTATATCGTTCCACAGAAAATATCAAAACTCCTGTTCAACAGTCTGAATATCATGGTCAATATATCCCTTTTGACAATCTTCGTTCGTATGCTACAATAAAACCAGACATTTTATTTTATTTGTATTTCTTTTAACGTCTTTAATAACTAACGCGTATATCAGAAAATCTTTTTTATAAAGCATTTACCACAATATCTCTTACTTTGTTGTATAGTTAAGACATGTTTTCGGTTCTATGTAAACAAGACTTTATACTACTGATGATTTGATAAACATATACCAATTTGTTGAGAGGTTCTCTTGCCAGGCTAATACATTGATTTAGGACAGAATTGCGGGCGGCATCAGAACAAAACTATCATTTGCAACAAGAAGCGTTACTTGCCTGTTTCCTAGACATGTAATTCATCGTATACTGCCCTGGATGATCTATCTTGTAACATCTCGTATGATCTAAAACATCATAAAAGTGCTTAAAATAGACCTCTCGTTCTCATCCCCTACATGACCATACAGTGAAATATTCGCCAAACTACGTTTGCTCTGCCATCAAAAATGCCTTGGCACAACGTTAAATTCGCCATAGAGTATAATGTAAATTGCAGTTTGTTAGTAAAACTTTTAAGTTTTGATTTGTATTTTCGCCCTATTGACGTAAATGGGTAAATTGGCAAAAGCTAAACTGCGATCCCCTGATTATAGTATTGACTGTCTATTACAGGGACAGATCCATCTAGTATACATGACCTTGTTCAAAATATCTCTTACGATTGATAATTCAATATCCTTGTGTATGCATTATCACCATGAAAAAATATATCTTTCGATTAACCCTTATTAGGACGTGAAACATATACATCCCGATACCCCTTTAATGTCCCACTTAATTCTTAAAGTCGATTTTAAAGACGATATCGTATTTTCTTGTTATTTCCCCTGATTAACCCCTGTAGGACGTGAAATAGTATACATCCGATACTCCTTTGGTTGTCCTACTTAATTCTTAAAGTCGATTTTAAAGACGATATCGTATTTTCTTGTTATTTCCCCTGATTAACCCCTGTAGGACGTGAAATAGTATACATCCGATACTCCTTTGGTTGTCCTACTTAATTCTTAAAGTCGATTTTAAAGACGATATCGTATTTTCTTGTTACTTCCTCTTATTAATCCCCGTAGGACGTGAAGTAGTATACATCCCGATAAATGTTTGGTTGTCCCACTTAACGTTGATTTTAATGTCGATTTTAAGCACGATATCGTATTTTCCTGTTATTTCCAAGTTCAATTGCTTTGATAGTCACTATGATGTTGACAACTGGTTCGGAATAAGCTTGTTAGTTTTCAATAATTTTATAATATTCTACTGTTTAATTTGAAACCAATAAGATAAAAGTCAAGAAATTGCTACTATAATTCTTAAATCGCTTTTGTATTAATTTGGCAGCAAGCAACAATAAATGTTTGTTTTAGTTCTTAGATTTAGTGTATTAAAAGGCATGTTTGACTTACTGTTCTGCAGGACTATCTCCACTTACAGATCCTGCAAAAAAAGATTTATTTACAAATATATGATTTCATGTCGGAAATTATCAAACCGGACCTTTGACTCGGTATTGTGTATCAAATATCAATGGCAACGCACGAAATACAAAACATGGTAGATTTCGCCAAAACACAAAGCAGTTATTGTATATGGTAAATGAGAATGCTGTAGGATTTTGAACAACGAACTAAGATGGGAAGCTGATCCGAACTTACTTGTAGAACGCCGTTCTAGAACGTCATACACAGATGGCCCAGCGACGGCAGACGATTCTAGCTGTTGATAATCTGACCTGTAAAATGCGTGCAAATTTGGTATTTTAAGTAAATCATATACCTTCCGATGGATTAATCACACTTAGTACGTCGACTGCATAAGCCCATAACTGATCCGTCACCATTTTATTATTATACAAATATCAGGGGAAATAATTTCCATCGAATGACAATAGCTAATATACGAAATTTATGAATGGATGATTCGTATCTCAGAATGTTACTTCTTTATTATTGGCATGAGTCGCTTTGAATTGTTCACAAATCCTTTTAGATGATAAATCTAATTGACGTTATTGCCTTCACCAAAACCTTCACGACGCTAATTTTTGTGATAATGTGCCTTTATGTCATTACGATACAGATAACTTTATAATTAAAAGATACAGAAATTACATGCAACATACTACACTTACTCTCGTCTTTCTCTTGTATTTTCTGCTGCAATGTAAAACAACGCAAATCTGAGAAAAGCGAAGGCAGCGACAAAAATGATTTTTTACAAAAACACATTTGTTAACAAAGAAAAATATGTTTGACGTCCTATCATCATCTAACGTCATTTAAGAATGGTATCCTTATATATGCAAGGAAAGCGCATGTCATTAGAATGCTGCGATATGTTGGGTCTCAAGTCGCTAAATCAAATGCTGAGGTTTAGAAAGGAGTGGTAACTACCATCTTCAGATTTGGTTTTGCTATCCGAGGGGACTGAACCGAAAGCTTAAATAAAACTGAGGCAGTGTCACGACAAACATTAAGACTGATTTTAGAGGAAATATGAAGATACCAATGTTAGTCGTAATCTTGCTTATTTGAACCTTTCTACTTATTACTTGTCTCTTAAATTAAATACGAAAACCGTAATGAGCAGTACTCCAGGAAAAACAACATCCGGATAAGAGGGCTCTCAGAATGTAAAGGTGAAAACCTGAGAGAGGAGTTACCAAGGAAAATCCTGGAAGTGACCGGTGTGAAATTAAATGGTTATTATGACATCGTTGCAGTACATCGTATTCCCAGTGGATCAAGGTCACCTCGACCAATCATTGTGAAGTTGTTAAACAGTGACATTAAGAACCTTGTGACAAAAAACAAACAGTCATTACGTAAAGCTTGACTATACATAGCTGAGGACATTACCAGCGAAAATTTTCTACTCATGGACAAAGTACGGGCTTGTGACAAAATTGAGTACAGCTGGTATTATAACTGTAATATGTATGGTCTCTGTGTTGAAACAAAACAACGAGTGAAATTCAGTTTGTTTGATGACATTGACTGCATTGTGAATGAACACATCCAGAGTGTTAATATGAATACAAATACATACGTGGGACAAAAAATAACACAAAAGTAATGGAGTATTTGTATATTTGTATGTGTGGTGTAGCAATGTATGAGACTGACCTTTGAACTGTCTTTTGAGTCTCTTACATGATACACGGATTGTCTTTTCTGTTGAGAGAGGTAAGTCAATGATCAAATCACTGTTTGTTAACATGCACTTTGTTCAAGTGATTTTTTTCTGTTTTTTTTTTTTTTTTTTTGTTTTTTTTTTGTTGTACATATGAAATTATTTTTTGTCAAAATTTGCAAGAATTTATGTTGTAATACAGTTGCTGAGTGCACATGACCAAATATCAAGTTTCAGTTTAAAATTATATGACACTCATATCAAGTAGATCAAATATTGCAGATTCTTCATAAGATCCATTGTTTTCAGTGTGATTCCATTTCTTTTTCCATGTAGTAATAAGAAGTCGTGATCATAACATTAAATTATTTATACTAGATGTTTTACCAACATTTGCAATTTGATATCGTAATTCTTGCTACATTTCTACCACTGACAGGGAAACAAATGCAAAACCTCAATAATCTCAAACTGTAAAAAAAAAAATAAATAAATGAAAATAAAAATAAAAATGTATAGTATACTATATATAAAATTATGTATATCAAGCAGTTTAACTATATAAAAAAATTTTTTTTTATATATTTACCTATCCTATGAATGTTTGTCAAAAAAAAAAATAGAAAGTTTTTCCATAATGTTATTTTTATGGATAACACATGTTGTACAACCATGCAGTATTATAAGATAATGAAACAGTAAGATGGTACTATAAACATGTGTTTGTTAATCATGAGTACCATTGATAAGACAGTGATTATGAGTAAATTCTGTTTTATATTCAATGTAATTATATATGTTCGAGTGATATATGTTTCAGTAATACAATAAAGATTTTGAACCCCAGTATGAATGTATCTGTAACCTCGATACCTACATGTAGCATGGATGACTGGCCTGTGGTTGTGTATCTGGTATCAGTATTTATTGTTGATGATGTGCCTTTTCAATAATATAAACATTATCATAGTATTCTGATTTTCTAAGTCATTATTATATATTGGATAATCTCAATCTTGATGATAATTTATTTTGTACTGAAGATATTATTGTCCAAACATGTATCTATTTTCACTATTCATATGGAGTCACAATATTTTAATTAGCCTATACTACTAATTGTATAAAAATGGATTTTCAATCTTCTGATACTTATCTGAATCCAATTCTCTTCCATTCAGCCCTACGGCTTACTAGTTAAATAATATGCACTTGTCAACCTGTTGGGTGCGCGACACTGAAGTTCAAAGTTGAAAATTATCTTATCGATATTGCATTGCACGTGCCTGACCCATGTGAGAGGTCACCATATAAAAAGACATAACCAAGCCTCGACACACGCTTTTTTGTCAGTCAGGGTGCGTGACAGACATTAAGCCAGAAGGGAAGGCTATCTTGCGGGTCTCGCGTCCGCGATTTGCATTTGCTTGGTAAAGTTTCAGCCATTTGAACTTATTTTTATTGATTCCTTTCCTTCGCTCCGCGAATTTCATTTGTTTACATTTGGTTATCAGCTGTACGGTTATGCGTCGTAAGCAGGCTCGCGGTAAACGGTTGCCTTTGTCGGTGACTTTCGATAATTGTGAGTCTAACGATGACCTCTCTCTCCATCCCGGAGAGACGGAGGCAGAGGGGTGTGATGATTTCTTTCCGGGACCCCTTCCCGATTTGAGTTCGGGTCTAAGCGACTCTGTCGCTTGTGCAAGTGATAAGGACTCTGCACAGCCGCAGTCACCGAACGTTGTTCGGAATGACAAATATGGCGGCGTCGGAGGCGATGCCCCGACTGTTCCTTTGCCCCGTGGGGGTAAGAAACGTCCCGTCTGCACTGAGGCTGCCGCTGGTAGCGAGTTTCAACTCATGGCGAAACGTATGAGGGCTCTGGAGGAGCAGTTAGCAGACGTTAAGCGGGACCGGGCGAGTTCCCGTACAGGAAACCAAACGGCTGGTGGGTATGGCAATGATTATGTTGTTGACAGTTTTGACTCAGATTTTTTTAGTATGACGGACCCGTTGGGTCTTCAAGATACAGAACAATCTTCCATTGAGTTAGATGATATATATTCTGATATTTTACCCACAGAGGAAGGTCATATGGAGGACTTGTTCGCCATCCCTGACTATGTATATGGTGATGTAAAGTTGGGCCCTAGTGTTCACGAGGGACTTGCCAAACTTGTAAATACTGCTTGTAGGAAAACGTCGGACGTTTCTAAAATGGCAGAAAAATACCCTGTACCAGCAAATTGTGCCGCTATGACCGTCCCACGATGTAACCCTGAGATTTGGGGTAAACTTGGTAAGCCTTTACAGGCAAGAGATTTTCAACTTAAAGAGGCCCAGAAGTCGGTGTCTGACGGTATGGTACCTGTGATGAGGCTGACTGAGGCTCTTGTGAGTCATCCAGACTTTCGAGAGAAGTTCAGGCCTCTGTGTATTGATGCTCTGTCCATGCTAGGGAATGCAGTACATACATTGTCTGTGAAACGTAGGTTTCTTATGAGACAAGCCCTCCCGCCATCATATCATGCCTTATGTGGGAAAAACATGCCAATAACTTCAAATCTATTTGGGGATGATCTTGCAAGGAAGGTGAGAGACATTTTTGAGGCTAATAAGGCTTTCAATGTTTTGTCTTCACGAAAACAGGTACAGCGAGGAGGTTGGAGTGGCGGCCAGAGAGGGCGAGGGGGCTATAGCCAGTACAGAAGCTCAGCAAGGCCTTTTTTACGGTCGGGCCAGCGGGGCCGGGGACAACGGCGACCCGCATACATGCAGCAAAGTCAAAGCCAGAGCCAGACACAGAAAAAAGAATAGCCCCTAAGGTGAGTGTTCCATCTGGTAGAATCGGAGAGCGTTTAGAATTTTGGAAATCATTGACTGATGATGAATGGATTTTGGATACTGTGCGTGGTCTTACACTTGAGTTTGTAGAAATCCCTGTGCAACATAAATTGTCGGGACCAGTAGCTTTTAGTAAGGAAGAGATGGAGATTGTTGATTCTGAGGTGAATGATTTAGTATCCAAAGGGGCAATAACTCAGTCTATTCATGAAAAAGGTGAATTTGTTTCTAATTTGTTCCTGGTCCAAAAGAAAAATAGTAAATTTAGGCCAGTCATTAATTTGAGGAAGTTGAACGAGTTTATGGTGTACCACCATTTTAAGCAGGAGACCTTAGATGTACTAGAATTTGTAGAGAGAGGTGATTTCTTCACTTCTATTGATCTAAAGGATGCATATTTCAGTGAACAAACATCATAGGAAATACCTGAAATTCAAATGGAGAGGTATACTATATGAGTTTATGGCTATGCCTTTCGGTTTGACAAGTGCCCCTCGGATATTTACCAAAGTACTGAAGCCAATTATGGCTAAAGTTCGCAGATTGGGTATCCATGCTTTCTATTACATAGATGACTCTTTGGTCAAGGCTGCTGACAGAGAGGTTTGTGAAAGGAACTGTAGGGTGTTAGCTGGAGTTTTGGAATCTGCTGGGTTCCAGATTAGTTCCGAAAAATCTTTCTGCTAGTCAAATGGTCATTCATCTTGGGTACTTGATAGATTCTATCACATTTACCGTTTCGTTACCAGAACAAAAGGTTAAGAAAATCATAGATGCATGTTCCCATGTCTTAGGTCAAAAGTCAATTTCTCTAAGGGACCTTGCTAGTCTCATTGGCTTGTTTACGTCATCTCTTAGAGCAGTTCGGCTGTCAGGGCTATTTTACAGATTGGTAGACAAGGATAAGACAGCAGCCCTACATAATGGTTTGTCTTATGACGACAAGGTCAGTTTGTCTAGGTTGGCACAAACGGAGATAGTATGGTGGAGAGATAAGGTGAACAGTATGAATGGTCGGGCGATAAGACCAAGTGATCCAGATGTGATTATGGAAACTGATGCATCTGGTGATGGATGGGGAGCAAAGTTTGGCTCTCAGATAACAAAAGGTCTTTGGTCAAAAGCAGAACGTGAACATCACATAAATTTTTTGGAATTAAAAGCTGTCTGGTTGGCATTA